AGCATTGGAAGCATCCAGACCAGTGGACTCCAGCTTTTGTAGGTTTAGGTGTAGTTTAGGTGTAGTGGTGGTGTAGTTTAGGTGTAGTGGTGGTGTAGTTTAGGTGTAGTGGTGGTGTATGGTGCTGAAGTTGTAGTGGTTTCAAGTACAGGTGTAGTAGTGGGTTCAGGGGTCGTCGTAGTTAAAGGGATGCAGTGTCACCTGTGTGTGTGTGTTTAACAGTACTCTTCTTGCGTTGTGAACAATCATCGACAAGTACTCCAGCATGTAGCACCAGTCACGGATGTATTATCTGATAGGGGAAACAGCATGGATGGAACGTCATGCAATGCAGCCACCACAGATCATTCTACTCCCTGCACGCGCAGGCTGGTTTGGCGCTTGTTGACTGGGGTAACCACAGTTACCCAAAGTTTACCACAACAGGGCCATGAGTTTTTCCCGGACCATGTGATCTGACCAGGGAAAACCTCCTGGCCCTAAATAAGGCTCTTGTTACCCAACTGCCATAACGAATAATATGACGCAAGAGCCATTTCATGAGCCATCTCCTGACTCCTGTCCACTGATTAAGAAAGTAAGTAGGAGAGACCAGGGAGAGAGTCACAGAGACTGAGGAGGAGTAGGAGGGACCAGGGAGAGAGTCACAGAGACTGTGGAGGAGTAGGAGGGACCAGGGAGAGAGTCACAGAGACTGTGGAGGAGTAGGAGAGACCAGGGAGAGAGTCACAGAGACTGTGGAGGAGTAGGAGAGACCAGGGAGAGAGTCACAGAGACTGAGGAGGAGTAGGAGGGACCAGGGAGAGAGTCACAGAGACTGTGGAGGAGTAGGAGGGACCAGGGAGAGAGTCACAGAGACTGTGGAGGAGTAGGAGAGACCAGGGAGAGAGTCACAGAGACTGTGGAGGAGTAGGAGAGACCAGGGAGAGAGTCACAGAGACTGAGGAGGAGTAGGAGGGACCAGGGAGAGAGTCACAGAGACTGTGGAGGAGTAGGAGGGACCAGGGAGAGAGTCACAGAGACTGTGGAGGAGTAGGAGAGACCAGGGAGAGAGTCACAGAGACTGAGGAGGAGTAGGAGAGACCAGGGAGAGAGTCACAGAGACTGAGGAGGAGTAGGAGGGACCAGGGAGAGAGTCACAGAGACTGAGGAGTTCAGGAGGACTCGCTGGAGTGCAGGAGGACTCGCTGGAGTGCAGGAGGACCTCCTCTGGCCACACAGGCTGAGGCTGCAGTGCAGGAGGAACTCCTCTGGCCACACAGGCTGAGGCTGCAGTGCAGGAGGACCTCCTCTGGCCACACAGGCTGAGGCTGCAGTGCAGGAGGACCTCCTCTGGCCACACAGGCTGAGGCTGCAGTGCAGGAGGACCTCCTCTGGCCACACAGGCTGAGGCTGCAGTGCAGGAGGACCTCCTCTGGCCACACAGGCTGAGGCTGCAGTGCAGGAGGACCTCCTCTGGCCACACAGGCTGAGGCTGCAGTGCAGGAGGACCTCCTCTGGCCACACAGGCTGATGCTGCAGTGCAGGAGGAACGCAAGAAAGTAAGAAAGTAACACAACTGACAATGGAAAAACATCTGTGACTGTTCCGTACCTCTCTCTGTGACTGTTCCGTACCTCTCTCTGTGACTGTTCCGTACCTCTCTCTGTGACTGTTCCGTACCTCTCTCTGTGACTGTTCCGTACCTCTCTCATTGCGCTCACGTTGCTATTATTAACTATTCGTCCATCAATCAAATTTCAAAAAGGCCTACAAGAAAGAACTCAGTGAACTTTGCATAAAAAAAATAAAAAAAACATACGTTTGGCAAAGTATGCTGTTTAATGAAAGGCCAATTGCACATGATATACCATTTTGAAACTGAGCCCTCAATATGTATTAGAACAAATGTACACTGCTCAAAAAAATAAAGGGAACACTTAAACAACACAATGTAACTCCAAGTCAATCACACTTCTGTGAAATCAAACTGTCCACTTAGGAAGCAACACTGATTGACAATACATTTCACATGCTGTTGTGCAAATGGAATAGACAACAGGTGGAAATTATAGGCAATTAGCAAGACACCCCCAATAAAGGACTGGTTTTGCAGGTGGTGACCACAGACCATTTCTCAGTTCCTATGCTTCCTGGCTGATGTTTTGGTCACTTTTGAATGCTGGCGGTGCTTTCACTCTAGTGGTAGCATGAGACGGAGTCTACAACCCACACAAGTGGCTCAGGTAGTGTAGCTCATCCAGGATGGCACATCAATGCGAGCTGTGGCAAGAAGGTTTGCTGTGTCTGTCAGCGTAGTGTCCAGAGCATGGAGGCGCTACCAGGAGACAGGCCAGTACATCAGGAGACTTGGAGGAGGCCGTAGGAGGGCAACAACCCAGCAGCAGGACTGCTACCTCCGCCTTTGTGCAAGGAGGAGCACTGCCAGAGCCCTGCAAAATGACCTCCAGCAGGCCACAAATGTGCATGTGTCTGCTCAAACGGTCAGAAACAGACTCCATGAGGGTGGTATGAGGGCCCGACGTCCACAGGTGGGGGTTGTGCTTACAGCCCAACACCGTGCAGGACGTTTGGCATTTGCCAGAGAACACCAAGATTGGCAAATTCGCCACTGGCGCCCTGTGCTCTTCACAGATGAAAGCAGGTTCACACTGAGCACGTGACAGACGTGACAGAGTCTGGAGACGCCGTGGAGAACGTTCTGCTGCCAGCAACATCCTCCAGCATGACCGGTTTGGCGGTGGGTCAGTCATGGTGTGGGGTGGCATTTCTTTGGGGGGCTGCACAGCCCTCCATGTGCTCGCCAGAGGTAGCCTGACTGCCATTAGGTACCGAGATGAGATCCTCAGACCCCTTGTGAGACCATATGCTGGTGCGGTTGGCCCTGGGTTCCTCCTAATGCAAGACAATGCTAGACCTCATGTGGCTGGAGTGTGTCAGCAGTTCCTGCAAGAGGAAGGCATTGATGCTATGGACTGGCCCGCCCGTTCCCCAGACCTGAATCCAATTGAGCACATCTGGGACATCATGTCTCGCTCCATCCACCAACGCCACGTTGCACCACAGACTGTCCAGGAGTTGGCGGATGCTTTAGTCCAGGTCTGGGAGGAGATCCCTCAGGAGACCATCCGCCACCTCATCAGGAGCATGCCCAGGCGTTGTAGGGAGGTCATACAGGCACGTGGAGGCCACACACACTACGGAGCCTCATTTTGACTTGTTTTAAGGACATTACATCAAAGTTGGATCAGCCTGTAGTGTGGTTTTCCACTTTAATTTTGAGGGTGACTCCAAATCCAGACCTCCATGAGTTGATACATTTGATTTCCATTGATAATTTTTGTGTGATTTTGTTGTCAGCACATTCAACTATGTAAAGAAAAAAAGTATTTAATAAGATTATTTCATTCATTCAGATCTAGGATGTGTTATTTTAGTGTTCCCTATATTTCTTTGAGCAGTGTATTAGGACAGTGAAGCTAATCTCTTTTACTGTTGCTCTCAACTATGGAGTGATGATGGTCTAATGCTGCGTTCACGTGCTAGTCAGACCTTGGAGAATGTGACATTTCTGACTTGGACACTTGTGGTAGAAACAAGAGCTCAGAGTTTCCCCCACTTGAAAGTACTAGAATCAATCAATAGGAAGTTCTACGCAAATAAATTATGTTCATTTTAACTCTGAGGTTCCGAGTTTCCGATAGTGGCATATGTTAGTGATGCAGTGATATATTCCACCCCCCCCCCCCCCCCCCCCCCCCCCCCCCCAAAAAAAAACAACACACACACACTTGATAGCACAATGATTTCTAGTTCCAATCTTTGTTTTAATAAGTACAATAAAAAATTTCACAAACCAATGTCATCCTTGAGATTCATGATCAATGCGCAACTGCAATATAAAATAGCTTCCAAATGATCAAATTTACAATCTACTATATGTCTAGTCTAGACTAGGGCCTAGATTCAATCAGATCTGTGTTAAACTGCATAAAGCATATCATTGCTTTTCTTTAGGCGATGTCGGAGGTGTAACTGCTATATTTGTTGTTGCTGACATTTCACCATAGTAAGATAGAGCGCTCTAAATGGATATAGCCCTTTTTTAAGCATTGACATTTAGGGCTTTTCACAATGTTTAAATAGTCAACTCGAATGACACACAAGATTTTGTTTAAGACTTCAGCACTGCAGGTGGCAGTAAATCACCAATATTGGTTTTATGCTTTTTTTTTTTTTTTTTAAACACAAAATAATAAGAAAATTGACTACTTTAAATTGGAGAAGCCTCAATGGCACTCCCCATTCTGTTACAGACGCTATAATGGCACAGATACAAAAGATGAGTCCTCTATCTAACTCCATGCATTTTCCATACTACCATAATTTCACAACTTTTTTTTATTGACAATGTGCCTATTCTTGTGTTTAATGTACTTTTATTACGAATTTAAAAGCTTAGTGATGTGTCAGTAACTATGACGACAGTAAGCCTAACCAACCTACATTTAACCGAAGTTAAAAGTACATCTAATAAAAGTAATTATTCAAAAACATTGTCAGAACCTTGACATAACTAGAGTCACCTCAGCATTTTGGAGGCATGAAGAAATTGAGTAGGAGTGGTAGATAGCTGTAAATAAATGCACATAACTCTGGCTAGCTAACCAACTCATGGCGAACACAATTCACTTATTCAAATTCACTTTGCTGTTGCTCCTATCCTTTGCTTGTAACTGCAGCTTTTTTTTTTAAAGGTATATAGTTTTAGCATTTTGATGCTTTATTGGATAGAGGAGAGACAGTGGGGAACGATACTGTATATAGAGAGTTTTTGCTGAAATATAATTGGGCCGGATTGGAACCTCTGCTGCAGTGGTATACGTGTTCTGAAGGCAGCGGTTTAGACCACAGTAACTGCAGCTTTGTGCCTTCCTTCACCAACGATGAGGGGGCTCCAGTTATGTTTACATTTGCGGTTTGTGATTGAGAGGCTGGAGCTACCTCTGACTTCTCTCCCGTTTCAACGCCACCCCGAACTTCCAGGCTTCGATGTACTGAGACAGGTCGATCTCTTCAGGGAAGAACTGCTCAACATCAGAGGGGATGTCCAGGTTCTTACGTTCCATGTATGCCACAAGTGTATCTTTCAGACTAGAAGAGAACGGTAATACAATGGACATGTGAGGTTCACAGAAATAGTTGAATGATTTTTTTACTGGTTAAGATGTCAATAACACAAACCATCAAGCTATTTGGTTCTCTATTTTAGGACATTTGCGGTTATCAGAAACAAATGACATAAAAAAAATAAAAATAAAACTTTCAGTCTGAAGAAAGTATGCTTTGAAGGGATTTTAAGTGCACCAGAAAAAAGTATTGGAAAGTTCAGGGAAACATCAGGGAAGATCATCAGTGTATGATCTGTGTAGAAAAGAAGTTCACCATTGCGCTCAATTAATTTCCCCCAGTCATACTGTGAAAATGTGTCCGTGTGGACGTCGTTTCCAGAGGGTTGAGTGCTACACATGAAACATTTGAATGTTCAGCATTCTATACAATGGCAAGGACAACCACTCCACACTGCCTGTTGGGCCTTTACTAGCATGTGTGTGAGAGTGAGTGAGTGTGTGTGTGTGAGTGTGTGTGTGAGAGTGTGTGTGTGTGTGTGTGTGTGTGTGTGAGTGAGTGAGTGTGAGTGAGTGAGTGAGTGAGTGTGAGTGAGTGAGTGAGTGAGTGTGTGTGTGTGAGTGTGTGTGTGTGAGTGTGTGTGTGTGAGTGTGTGTGTGTGTGTGTGTGTGTGTGTGTGTGTGTGTGTGTGTGAGTGTGTGAGTGTGTGTGTGTGTGAGGCCTGTAGGTGTCAGTGTGTCCTGCAGCCTTACCCCCAGTCAGGTCTGTAGGTGTCAGATGCACGGGGGCTCTTCAGGACCAGTATCAGGAACTCGTGCATCTCCAGCAGGATGGAATCAGCGTTGCTTTTATTAAAGAACCCAGTGAGAAGCCTGTGCTCCTCCTCTCCCAGGGCCTTCCTGTACTCTTCTGAGATCCCTTCAAATGGGTCCTTAGGACGGGTAGGGAAAGAGAGAGAGTCAACCCCTGGTAGTTACATTTCTGCTATGTCCACACTACGTCTTCCAATTTGCACGCTGAAAGGGAAACGCAGCAGAAAAGAATAGGATCTATTCTTGCGCTGCGTTAGTGAGTCAGCGCTTTGCTGCTTCACTCTTGTGCTTGTGATGTGGAAGCACCACCACTTAACATTGCCCTCTTATAGCTTAAGTGTCAAGGGGTAGGGGTTAATCTCGTTCACAGCGCCTCAGAAAGGGACTTGAATGGAGCCTATGGCAAGAGCGGGAAAAACCCCCCCTCTGGATTTTCATTGGCTGAACTCTCAGTCTATCACCATCTAGCATGACCCTTAGGACCTCCCCTCTATATTGTGGAAATCCACAAAGCACGAGCAGTGCAAGTGATTTAGGCTAAACAAGGAAGTGAGTTCGGGAAATTGGATAGTATGTGAATTGTGAAAATAGTTTTCACATATAAACTTTATATGCCCAAACTCAGAATCATTTGGGCTTCCCATAATTATGGTCGCTATGAAAGAACATTTATTGATGTTGAAGTCCCAGATGTAGCAGACTCGCTCTCTCCCCCACCTCGATTTTAACGCATGCCCAGGGCCGGACTAGCGCATTTGGGGCCCTGGGGCACATTTTGCCACGTTGCAGAGAGAACATTTTGCAGTTTTAAATGCTAATTTCCTGCAATTCTACACTTTTAGGCATGGGCAGAGAACAATTTTCTCTGCATCTCATGCTTTCGTTCACATTTAGCCATGAGGCTGAGAGAAAATGTTGCAGTTTTAAACAGGGGTGTGACGACTTCCGCCGAAGTTGGTGCCTCTCCTTGTGCGGGCGGCTATCGGCGGTCGTCGTCACCGGCTTTCTAGCTGCCACCGATCTACGTTTCTGTTTTCCATTTGTTTTGTCTGTATTGTACACACCTGGTTCCCATCACGTTAATTTGTTTCCCTATTTAACCCTCTGGTTCCCTCATGGTGTTGTGCGTGATTGTTCTTTGTTTGGTGTTCATACTGCTGTGAGCTGATGTATTTCCCTGCGTGGAAATTAGATTTGTTGTTTTTCGAGTAAAGTTCGTCTGTTACTCAGTTCTGTGTCCTGCGCCTGACTCCATCCTACCGCTGCACACTGACACCTGACAAAAATTATTTTCCAATCGTTTCGTTCTGAACAGAACCACTATTTTTTTTGTTTCGTTCCACTGTTCCAACCTGCAAAATAAAGTTCTGAACCGGTTCGAACCCCAAAAAAGTAACAGTTTATATCATTCCTTTCTGTAATTTCTTTACCCGTGAAATCAACCATTTTTTACATTTAGCTCATTAAATGACTTCACCACTCAGTGCGGATAGAGCAGGCAAGCTAGTTCTTTACATGTGTGATGGACAGTGATGGGGAATATATGATCTATTATGTGCATTTGCTTACATCATTAAAAACTATGGAGGCCTTGACAGCAGAAGGTTTTCAGAAACCTGCAAACCACAATTGCCACATTGACTTTAGACATGTCGTCGTTTTATTGTCTGACACCTCACCCCCTGATGCTGAGTTCGTGGGAAGACAGGATTAGGAAGAATACTTTGTTGTTGCTAGGGAAAGTTCAGGGTCAGGGGTAAACATCACGCTATGGGAAGGGAGTGCTAGTATAAAAAGCATAGATTGTTTTAGACACTTTGCAGAACTTACGAAGAGCTATACAAACCCTGTTGACTCTGTATTAACTTCTGCCTGCAATTGCAAAACTAAAGATCGTTTACATATATTCAGAAGCCGTTGTCTGTGTCATTTTTCTAAAGTTTAAGTTTTAAGAATAAGAGAATATCAGCACTGTGCAAAGAACCCTCAACAACAGACAAGTGTAGCCTATGGCGCAAGATGCGACTGAAATTTTGCGGGTGGGGAGAGAGCGAGAGAGGGTTGAGGAGGAGGCTTGAAGCGCTGGGCATCTTGTTATGACATGCATTATCTGAATTAGGTCCACCGAATTATACCTAGGAGCGGCTTCTATGGAGGAACTTTGAACGTCCTTTGAGCCAGCTAGCTAACATGCTGGTGTGTGCAGAGCGGCAGCAGAATTAAAAACACATCTTACCTTATTGTACTTCATAAATCCAATGTGAAATGTGATAACTAGATCTATAGTATCCTTAACCAGCATTGAAAAAGGTAATCCATTCTTCTCTAGCTAATGAAAAATCTCTCTTCCTATCTTCTGAATCACGAATGTAACGTCAATACAGTAGCCTATGCTTCGGAGGGGGAGGGGCAGGTAGCCTACACAAACGCAAAGATTTTCAGCTTACAGGAAGACACTGGAATACGTTTCCTTGTGACAGAGTGAGGGCTTGGCATAAGCACTTTGTTGCGTTTTTGTTGTGGGACTGGAAAAAATGCCTGGAACATAAAATAACTTTATTAACCGGTTCCCATGCTTTTAAAATAACGGTTCCGTTCCGGAAAACAGCATGGATCACTTTCATTCCAGATTCCGTTTCTGTTCCTTGAAAGATTTCGGTATTTTCCGGTTAACTAGGACTTGGTCAACCTATAAATCATTCCTGAACTGTAACTTGACAGGTGAACTATTGTTTCATATGACCACATCAAACAGTAATACAGACACGCCTCATAGTGTCTGACCATGTTAAAACACCCAAGAGGCTCCCTAGCCAGCAATTTCACTAGACGTCTTACCCTCTTAAGCCGCAGCATGTTCTCTGATTTGAGTGATGTCAGGAGCTGCCACAGTGCCAAACAGTGCTTGAGATAGTATCTGCCCAGGGCCTGAGGACAATAGGAGAAGACCTGAGGTTAGCCATGCTTGAGATTGTATCTGCCCAGGGCCTGAGGACAATAGGAGAAGACCTGAGGTTAGCCATGCTTGAGATTGTATCTGCCCAGGGCCTGAGGACAATAGGAGAAGACATGAGGTTAGCCATGCTTGAGATAGTATCTGCCCAGGGCCTGAGGACAATAGGAGAAGACCTGAGGTTAGCCATGCTTGAGATAGTATTTTCCCAGGGCCTGAGGACAATAGGAGGAGACCTGAGGTTAGCCATGCTTGAGATAGTATCTGCCCAGGGCCTGAGGACAATAGGAGAATACCTGAGGTTAGCCATGCTTGAGATAGTATCTGCCCAGGGCCTGAGGACAATAGGAGGAGACCTGAGGTTAGCCATGCTTGAGATTGTCCTCAGGCCCTGGGCAGATACTGAGGTTAGCCTAATCGTACACACAAACTACCCCTGCTTTAAATGACTAAGCACTTGTGTATGAATTAACTAGATAGGTGCACATAAATATGACAATAATTCCCTCTGGCCTATCAGAAGGCTATAACTACACATTGCTTATCCAATCCAAGACGTGCCCTAGTGGTGGGGGTCAATTTTGATTGAGCAAACCTCTTGTATAAACATGACATAATTGGTCACAAGTTGACTCTCAGTGATCTAGCGTCACAGATACCAATATTTAATACCCCTGGCTTAGACTACACCCCTGGCGTTTGTTGGAGACAGGCGCGTATTGGAGGATGCTGTTTGTACCGTTTGAAGTCTGTCTCCGCACCACGTGCTCTCACCACTGGTGTCCCCTAGGGCTCAGTTCTAGGCCCTCTCCTATTCTCGCTATACACCAAGTCACTTGGCTCTGTCATATCCTCACATGGCCTCTCCTATCATTGCTACGCAGACGACACACAACTCATTTTCTCCTTTCCCCCTTCTGATAACCAGGTGGCGAATCGCATCTCTGCATGTCTGGCAGACATATCAGTGTGGATGACGGATCACCACCTCAAGCTGAACCTCGGCAAGACAGAGCTGCTCTTCCTCCCAGGGAAGGACTGCCCGTTCCATGATCTCGCCATCACGGTTGACAACTCCGTTGTGTCCTCCTCCCAGAGTGCGAAGAGCCTTGGCGTGACCCTGGGCAACACCCTGTCGTTCTCCGCTAACATCAAGGTGGTGACCTGATCCTGTAGGTTCATGCTCTACAACATTCGGAGAGTACGACCCTGCCTTACACAGGAAGCGGCACAGGTCCTAATCCAGGCACTTGTCATCTCCCGTCTGGATTACTGCAACTCGCTGTTGGCTGGGCTCCCTGCCAGTGCCATTAAACCCCTACAACTCATCCAGAATGCTGCAGCCCGTCTGGTGTTCAACCTTCCCAAGTTCTCTCATGTCACGACGCTCCTCCGCACACTCCACTGGCTTCCAGTTGAGGCTCGCATCTACTACAAGACCATGGTGCTTGCCTACGGAGCTGTGAGGGGAACGGCACCTCCGTACCTTCAGGCTCTGATCAATCCCTACACCCAAACGAGGGCATTGCGTTCATCCACCTCTGGCCTGCTGGCTCCCCTACCTCTGCGGAAGCATAGTTCCCGCTCAGCCCAGTCAAAACTGTTCGCTGCTCTGGCACCCCAATGGTGGAACAAGCTCCCTCACGACGCCAGGACAGCGGAGTCACTCACCACCTTCCGGAGACACTTGAAACCCCACCTCTTTAAGGAATACCTGGGATAGGATAAAGTAATCCTTCTACCCCCCCCTTACCCCACCCCCCCAAAAAATAAAAAAATAAATAAACATATTGTAAAGTGGTTATCCCACTGGCTATAAGGTGAATGCACCAATAATGTAAGTCGCTCTGGATAAGAGTGTCTGCTAAATGACGTAAATGTAAATGTAAGTGTGACACCCTTTTATGATTACATTTTCCAGTTCGTAAATGTGTCGTTTCACGAATAGATTGCTTTTTGCGTCCCTTTGATATTTTAAGTAGAAATTGTGCACCAATATTGAATGAAAAGCCTGTTATATTAAATTATGTGCCCTTTAATATGAAACAGATGGAAAATGTACGTCCCTCGTCATGTTTTTATGACTTCTAGGAAACATTTTACCCACGTAACTCCAACATTTCTCGAAGTTTTCACCATCGTTGTAAAGCCCTTGTTATTTTGTTGCTTTAACAAAGTAATGTCTGAAGATTATTATTTATTTGATGTGATTTAATGATTCATTTACGTCTGTCCCTCATTTTAAAGGTCAACTCTGTTACACGAACTGAACTCTCATTTTAATACGGTGAAACTATTCCCTTTTCAATTATTTTTTCAAAAGAAACTTTGAACAAGATGAAAACATCAACCCTGTTACTTGATTTTGCCATTTTATTGGTACTTACTACAGTCATTATTGTTTATTTAACCTCTTGAGATTGGAAAACATGTGTTTTATTAACTTTAACGTGTTGTTTATGACAGAATGTTAAATAATAATATAATATATGCCATTCAGCAGACGCTTTTATCCAAAGCGTACATACATTTTACAATTAGGTGAAATAAAACGTTATTTTTTAAAACCAAATTACACTCTATTGGTGGAACGACCTAAATATGGCAGATTATAATTTACAGTATATGACCAATAGCCTGTCTGCATTTAGAAGGCACAGGAGATTTTACGTTTACATTTTAGTCATTTAGCAGATGCTCTTATCCAGAGAGACTTACAGTTAGTGAGAGCATACATTTTCATATACTTACAAAAAGGGAAAATGTATTTGGTATTGTTCCACAAAAGTAACTTCAGTTATCTTAAATCAGTGATTTAATGAACTGACTACTTTTACATTAAAAGGGACAGACTTGTGTTTTGACTGTGAAATGAGCAGAACGGCAATCTATGCGTGCACACGAAATCATACTTATATTCAGCATTTATTACAGACGTCCATGTGTAAATGTAAAGCGTGCCCCAGCTATTGTGAAAGATCGGCGCCTGTTGGAGACGACTTGACATGGAAGCTAGTGTTAAAGTCCGGAATCACAAGGCTGACCGTGAGGATGTGTGGAGCTGTTTGATCGGCCATCTGCAGCACCTCCTCTAGGTAGCTGCCCAGCTGCATGTGAGGCTCTCCCCCGGTCATGGCCAGGAACCCCAGGGCCACCTCCACGGTGGAGAGGGCCTCACACACCTCATTGTACGAATTCAGCTCCCCAACTAGGGTCGACAGGGCCCGCGAGGGCAGAGGCACCTAGAGACACAAAGCAGAGAGAGGTCAAACCCTTAGTTCCGAAGCAGAGAGGTCAAATCCCTTGCTCCAAAGCAGAGAGGTCAAATCCCTTGCTTCAAAGCAGAGAGGTCAAATCCCTAGCTCCAAAGCAGAGAGGTCAAATCCCTTGCTCTTTCCCAGTGTTTTCAGATCTGAAAGAACTAGACAGAATATGGCAGTGGCTCCACAAATCCAATATTTGTGGCTAGGTGGAGCCATCACCATATTCCTGGTTCCTTCAGATCTGCAGAAAATGATTCGGCTAGAACTAGTAAAGAAAGCTTCATGTGAAAATGGTGATTCATCTTTTGGGAAGAAGACACGGCTGACTTATCGTTTTTAGATTTTAGCAGAACTTACTTGTCCAATCTTTCCTCTCATGTCCTTCAGAATAATTTCATGAATTCGATCATGTCTGTTCACCAGTGTTGGGATTCCCTGTAGAAACCAATAACTGACATCATGAATAGCTGATACTAGTAAATATATGAGCATCAAGGTTGGGGTGAATTCCATTTGAAATGTCAAATAATGCTAATTGTATTTATTTTTTAAAATAATAAAGTACTTATTATTAATGAATTAAATTGAAATGGGAATTGACACCAACGCTGGTTGTCATATGGTCATTTAGCTGACCTTTAACCCCAAACTGACTTACAGTTAACATACAGTATATTCTATCAGGACACGTCGTGCATTCAGGAATAAACCCACTACACTAGTGTTGGACGCACCATGCTCCTACCAACTGAGCGATTGGCACTCACGTTGAGGGTGATGATGGGCCTGCCCTGCAAGAAGCGGGAGAGGATCTGCTGCTGGATCTTGGGCAGGTCGTACTCGTGCAGGGTCTCCTTGCCGTGCTTCATGCTGTACTGACAGTTGGACAGGATCAGTGGCAGCAGGTCCCTCTCCAGATCATATTGGATCACATGCAGGTCCGTTAGGTCTGCTGGGCTCACTTTAAAGCTGGGAAAAGAAGAATTAAGTCAACAAATGGCCTGAAACTATGGGGCTGTGGTATCAACAGTTTCTGCTTCCGTCTCAATGTGCTGTTCTCTCTCTATATCTTTCCCTCACTCAAATGCAACAAAGCACTAGGATATTTCAACAAAGCACTAGGATATTTCAACAAAGCACTAGGATATTTCTACAAAGCACTAGGATATTTCAACAAAGCACTAGGATATTTCAACAAAGCACTAGGATATTTCAACAAAGCACTAGGATATTTCAACAAAGCACTAGGATATTTCTACAAAGCACTAGGATATTTCAACAAAGCACTAGGATATTTCTACAAAGCACTAGGATATTTCAACAAAGCACTAGGATATTTCAACAAAGCACTAGGATATTTCAACAAAGCACTAGGATATTTCAACAAAGCACTAGGATATTTCTACAAAGCACTAGGATATTTCAACAAAGCACTAGGATATTTCAACAAAGCACTAGGATATTTCAACAAAGCACTAGGATATTTCAACAAAGCACTAGGATATTTCTACAAAGCACTAGGATATTTCAACAAAGCACTAGGATATTTCAAAACAGATATACCTTGACATAAAGCCATACAAATGTTTTATGCCAGGAGGTGTGCTAGGACTAGGATCAGGGGTAGCAAGGCGACTAGATTCAGCCGCGGGATGATTTTTGTCGAAGCGGATGGTTGGGGGAACGGGGCATGATAATTTGTGCACTGCAAATTGACCACAGCTAAGCCCAATAAGAGATTGCATTTGAAAATAACAATAATTTCATACCTTGAACACATCGAGACACGGTCAAGTCTCTTTTTATATTTGTGGGAATACTTGGGAACAGATTTCCTAAATTAAACTCATTTTTAGCTGAATTCCTGGTGATTTTACAGTCTTTTTTTTTTTAACCTAAAAACTCAACATTATATTTTTTTAACCTAAAAACTTTGGGAGATAAAAGTATTATAATATCATGCGTGTTGCCAACCCCCTGTTTCACGCGAAATTAGTACAAGTAAGCATGCATCCACCTAGTCTCCTCTCCAAGGTGCTTGTCCACACAGTAGACCAGCTCGTTCTGCAAGGCGATGAGGTAGCTGACCAGGGCTGTGGAGCAGAGACCAGGACCTTGACGCCGTGGCAACAGGACCTGGAAGTCACTGGTCATGTCCAGATCCTTCTGGCAGAACTCAAAAGGGATCTTAATCTCTCCTACAGAAACCAAACAAACAGATTGTTTTTGATGTGATGGGAAAACAGGCACAAGATGAGGCTATTCATCTGCATAGCAGCAGCAGAATCAGGGGTCATCATTGAATTATTGAGATATTTAGGACAGAATAAGTGAGAATATTTCACATGCTTGGGTTCACTACGAAGTGTGCCCTAGGATCTCTGAGCGAGTGCCCAACACATGCATTCTTTTAAGGATGCCGTTGTTTGACAAAAACGTCAACAAATAAGTACTGAAAACGTGTGTGCGCAAGTAATTATATATAGGATCACTATTGGACCCCAAATGGTATGGCACTGTTTATCTGTTCTTATTAGACCCAAACTGGTATGGCAATGATTATCTGTGCTATTACCATTGGTTGCCAGCAAGCCCCTAAGCTGATTCCATGTTGTCAGGAAGATGTTGATCCGTTTCTCGTGCCAGGCTCTCAGGGGAACTGTGGAAAGATGGACACAGACATAACCAATTACAAACTTTGGGCTCTATTCAATCCGTGGCGCTGAAGATCTGCTTTATAGCGCGAGATTGACAATTAAAAAGGCAACGTTCCCGTGGTCGCGGAGACTGCATTCACGGTAAACTTTGCATATGGTCGGCCAATTCGGAAATTACCTTTAAATTGTAGCGCAGATCTTCCGCGATACTTCGGTGATACGGATTGAATCCAGCCTTAAATCTCCTCCAATTCCTTTATGACACGTTTTATGGAATGCTTACAAAATAGTTGATAAGCCTGGTTTACATAGACTTCTACGTAGATTTTGCACTGATGTCCTTAGGATATTTGCGCGAAGATGAGTAATTCGCAAACACCTAAAGTTAGGATTTGGCTCAATGCCACTAATTTAGTGTTTCCCTATCCTGGTCCTGTGGACCCCAAGGGGTGCACATTTTGGTTTTTGCCCTAGCACTAACAGGTGGTATGAGTGCTAGGGCAAAACCAAAAAGGTGCACCCCTTTGGGTCCCAAGGACCAGGACTGGGAAACACTGCATCAATCAGAAGATACACCACAGGGGTGTAACACTCATTCCAGTCCTGGAGGGCTACCTTCTGTTATTTCCTTTCAATTAGTGTCCAATTAAGACCTAGACAACCAGGTGAGGTTGTCCAATTAAGACCTAGACAACCAGGTGAGGTTGTCCAATTAAGACCTAGACAACCAGGTGAGGTTGTCCAATTAAGACCTAGACAACCAGGTGAGGTTGTCCAATTAAGACCTAGACAACCAGGTGAGGTTCTCCAATTAAGACCTAGACAACCAGGTGAGGTTGTCCAATTAAAGAACCTAGACAACCAGGTGAGGTTGTCCAATTAAGACCTAGACAACCAGGTGAGGGGAGTTCCTAACTCATCAGTGATCTTCATTGATCAATCAAGTACAAGCGAAAAGTGAAAGCCCGCAGACACTCGGTCCTCCATGGAATGAGTTTGACACCTGTGTTACAGTACCTGATTCCTGTCTCTGGAGGAATTTGGCAATGGTGCAGTGGGACAGATCAGTCACATTCCGACACGTCTTCACCAGATTTCTCTGCAGTTCCAGGATGTCAGTGATGAACTTTACCAACCGCAGCTCTGCCTCCTGCAACCAATCACAGGGTTCAGTAAAATATCTGCTGACAGAATGCAACCAATCACAAGGCATTAAACTACTGACAGGTAAACCGTATAAGGCCTATAAATGCTGAGCAGCTAAGGTTATGATTGAAAAGAAAGTCAGAGCCCAATAATAGAAATGACTTGTGCATACACATTTTCCTTGGTATGTTCACATTTAACACGGCATGCTTTTTTAAAAATCTGTCATCACTGAACAAGGTTTTCCTTATTTGCATGTTCAGTTGCTCTCAATGATAGAACATAGCCAGGCCTCCCGAGTGGCGCAGCGGTCTAAGGCACTGCATCGCAGTGATAGAGGCGTCACTACAGACCCCGGTTCGATCCTGGGCTGTATCACAACCAGCTGTGATTGGGAGTCCCATAGGGCGACGCACAATTGGCCCAGCGTCGTCCGGGTTTGGCCGGTGTAGGCCGTCATTGTAAATAAGGATTTGTTCTTAACTGACTTGCCTAGTTAAATAAAGTGGCTTTTGTTTAGTGATACCTCTTACCTTGTGCAGGAACCTCCAGAGCACTGGCAGGGTGTTTTCTCCGTCATTCTGCTCCACAATGCGGGTGAGGCTGAGCAGGGACACCCTCTCCCTGCAGTTCCACACTGCTGGGCTGTGGATCTGGGAGTCGTTGGGCAGCGAGGTCAGGAACAGGCGTGGCTCTGGAGACAACACCTTCATGATAGGGTTGGAGGACACCCTTGAGTCAGCCCTGATAAAGGCATTCACCTCCTGCAGCCGCCTGTCCAGGTCCTGGAGACGAGATAGGAGGAGACACCAGCAGGGTAATTGGACTACAATTCCAAATTGACACCTGTCTCCTAGCAAGGTTGTGCTCAATTCAGATTAGAATTGAGAACGCCTCAATTTCAAATTAAATTATTGAATTGAATTTGAATAGAAGTAGTAAACAGGATACAGAATTGCAATTCGATTTTGAAATAAAGGAAATATAATTTAATTCAGTGAAATTCAAAGAAATTCAAATGCCTGTTCTATTCTATATTAGGTGTTGTCTATGCAAATATACATATTATATGCCTCGTTTTATACATGCATAGAAAATATTGTTGAAGCAATTGATTTTCAGGACAAACTTATAATTAATTATCAAGGAAAACAAAACCTGTATGCAAATATTCTAAGTTATTATATTTCATAAACCACTTACATTTTGTTCAATATGGGGAAAATACAACATTTCCCAGAATGCATTAGTCTAATCCTCAAGTTGACCCTTAGGCCTTTCAAGAAGCCAAACAAATGAAATGTTTATACAAAACATTAAGAACACCTGCTCTTTCCATGACAGCCTGGGGGGGGGGGGGGGGGGAATTGGTGCTGTGGGACAGATCAGTCACATTCCGACACGTCTTCACCAGAGTTCTCTGCAGTTCCAGGATGTCAGTGATGAAGTTCACCAACCGAAGAAAAACCTTTCTCAAATTCAAAATTGTACATCATGTGGGGTGTGGCCAATTCAATTCGAATTTCAACTCACGAGTTCAATGGAAGTCAATTCCAAAATTCTGAATTGTACCCAACCCTGACTTCTATGCAATTCTGTCAACCTTAAAATCAATATGGCAAAATGTCCATCTAGCCAAGGACAAGGTAGAGCTACAATCATATTGCTTATACCTATCCAATCCTGGAATTGGAACTGGAAATTAGATGAATTAAAAAACACGTCTGTCCTAGATGGTCGGACAATAAAGCCAGTAAGCTGTGATTTTCTGCTATCATGTTTTTACCTTCAGCTGAGGAGGGATTATTTCATTGCCAACTGTCATCTCCCAGGCATTTCTGGCCTCTTTGGTAGAGAGATGATTATCATCACACCCTGAGGAGAGAAGTTTAAACTGTACATAAGTCTGATTCCAGTTACAAACACCGACAACAAGTACACAAACAAAATCTAATCAAATCTTTGCTTAATATCAGCTCCCTTGATAAATATCAGCAAAAAAGACTGTATAAAATAAATAATACAAATACTGAGCTATATTGTATAAAAAATTTTTTGGGGGGAAATTACATTACTTTATACTAATACAATTGCTCAAAATAAAGAGATTTTGTTTAACAAGTAATAAAACAAATCTAAAAAAGGGTCAAAATTATTGGTACCCCTGTTTTCAATACTCCAGCACCCTCCCCTTGCGAGGATATGACACTGAGCCTTTTTCTAAAATGGTGGCGAATCGCATCTCTGCATGTCTGGCAGACATATCAGTATGGATGACGGATCACCACCTCAAGCTGAACCCTTGCAAGACGGAGCTGCTCTTCCTCCCGGGGAAGGACTGCCCGTTCCATGATCTCGCCATCACGGTTGACAACTCCGTTGTGTCCTCCTCCCAGAGTGCGAAGAGCCTTGGCGTGACCCTGGACAACACCCTGTCGTTCTCCGCTAACATCAAGGCGGTGACCCGATCCTGCAGGTTCATGCTCTACAACATTCGGAGAGTACGACCCTGCCTTACACAGGAAGCGGCACAGGTCCTAATCCAGGCACTTGTCATCTCCCGTCTGGATTACTGCAACTCGCTGTTGGCTGGCCTCCCTGCCTGTGCCATTAAACCCCTACAACTCATCCAGAATGCCGCAGCTCGTCTGGTGTTCAACCTTCCCAAGTTCTCTCACGTCACCCCCCTCCTCCGCACACTCCACTGGCTTCCAGTTGAAGCTCGCATCCGTTACAAGACCATGGTGCTTGCCTATGGAGCAGTGAGGGGAACGGCACCTCCGTACCTTCGGGCTCTGATCAGTCCCTACACCCAAACGAGGGCATTGCGTTCATCCACCTCTGGCCTGCTGGCTCCCCTTCCTCTGCGGAAGCATAGTTCCCGCTCAGCCCAGTCAAAACTGTTCGCTGCTCTGGCACCCCAATGGTGGAACAAGCTCCCTCACGACGCCAGGACAGCGGAGTCACTCACCACCTTCCGGAGACATTTGAAACCCCACCTCTTTAAGGAATACCTGGGATAGGATAAAGTAATCCTTCTACACCCCCCCCCCCCAAAAAAAAAAAAAAAAAAGTGTAAAGTGGTTTTCCCACTGGCTATAGGGTGAATGCACCAATTTGTAAGTCGCTCTGGATAAGAGCGTCTGCTAAATTACTAAAATGTAAATGTAAATGTTATGAGATTGTAGAACACATTGGGAGGGATTTTAGACCATTCCTCCATACAGAATCTCCCCAGATCCTTGACATCCTTCGTCTGCGCTTATGGACCTGCCCTCTTCAATTCAAACCACTGGTTTTAGATGGCCATTGCAACATGTTGATTTTGTGGTCAATTAACCATGTGGATTTGTGCTTGCTGGAAGACCCAATTCCGGCGAATTGTCAGCCTCCTGGCAGAGGCAACCAGGTTTTTGGCTAAGATGTCCTAGCAGGGCGGCAGGTAGGTTAGCGGTTAGAGCGTTGGGCCAGTAACCGAAAGGTGAAAAATCTGTCGATGTGCCCTTGATCAAGGAGCCCTAGTTTGCTCCTGCGGCGCTGTACTACTATGTCTGACCCTGTAAAACAACACGTTTCAACTGACAATAAAAACATATTTATTTTTACTTGGTAAAGTTCATGATGCCGTTGACCTTAACAAGGGCCCCAGGACCAGTGGAAGCAAAATAGCCCCATAACATCAAAGCTCCACCACCATATTTTACAGTAGGTATGAGGTACTTTTCTGCAAATGCTTCCGTTTTTCGACGCCAAACCCACCACTGGTGCGCGTGGCCAAAGAGCTCTGTTTTCATGTCATCTGACCATAGCACCGGTTCCAATGCCATTTATCAATCTCCAGGCTCCAGATGCTATGGTCAGATGACATGAAAATAGAGCTCTCAGAAACAGGGTATACTTTGTTACTTGTTAGATAAATATCAGCAAGCTAGACTTGCTATGCGCAGCAAAATAGCTAGCTAGCTCTCTGCTTGGCTAGCTCTCTGCTTGGCTAGCTAGCTGCTTGGCTAGCTAGCTCTCTGCTTGGCTAGCTAGCTGCTTGGCTAGCTCTCTGCTTGGCTAGCTAGCTGCTTGGCTAGCACTCTGCTTGGCTGGCTAGCTCTCTGCTTGGCTGGCTAGCTCTCTGCTTGGCTAGCTCTCTGCTTGGCTAGCTCTCTGCTTGGCTAGCTCTCTGCTTGGCTAGCTAGCTCTCTGCTTGGCTAGCTCTCTGCTTGGCTAGCTAGCTGCTTGGCTAGCTCTCTGCTTGGCTAGCTCTCTGCTTGGCTGAACACAAAACGTTAGCACGCTGTTCTCTGATGGGCTAAATCGATCAGTCTCGCTGCAAGACTTCAGCTAAAGATTTGACATGTTGAACCTCGGCAACTCCAGCCTACGACACGAGACGTTCTAAAACTAGACCGTTCAGATCAAACAAACTTTGTTGTAAAACTCCTTAAAACTGTTGCGTCTCTTCTTATGTATCTGAACTGGGCCTTACCGCGACGGTGAGGCTTCAGTAGGCTACTGATCATCAGGTGGACGGCATTGACTGTGTCATCTCTCCCTTTCCCCATAAACCTAGTCACGTGTTCCATGTCTTTCAGCAGGTGACCCATGAGGAACAAACTGGGGTCAGGGACTTGGGGCTTGATGATAGCAGCAATGGCCTATCAAAGACAAAGAAAGACAGCGAGATAAGACACTAGGAACTAGCTCCTTCTCCTAGCTCCTTATAAACTGAATAGGGTAGGGACTAGCTCCTTATCCACTGAATAGGGTAGGGACTAGCTCCTTTATCCCCTGAATAGGGTAGGGACTAGCTCGACAGAGCCTGGATTCTTATAAACTGAATAGGTAGGGACTAGCTCCTTATAACTGAATCGGTAGGGACTAGCTCCTTATCCACTGAAAGGGTAGGGACTACTCCTTATCCACTGAATAGGGTAGGGACTAGCTCCTTATCCACTGAATAGGTAGGGACTAGCTCCTTATTACTGATAGGGTAGGACTAGCTCCTTATCATGAATAGGGTAGGACTGCTCTATCCTGATAGGGTAGGGACTATCCATCTATCCATGAATAGGTAGGGACTAGCTCCTTATCCACTGAATAGGTAGGACTAGCTCCTTTAACTGAATAGGGTAGGGACTAGCTCCTTATCCACTGAATAGGTAGGGACTAGCTCCTATCCCTGAATAGGGTAGGGACTAGCTCCTTATCCCCTGAATAGGGTAGGGACTAGCTCCTTATCCCTAGTGGCTCTTTCCCTGAATAGGGTGGGGACTAGCTCCTTATCCACTGATAGGGTAGGGACTAGTCCTTATCCACTGAATAGGGTAGGGACTAGCTCCTTAATCCCCTGAATAGGGTAGGGACTAGCTCCTTATCCCTGAATCGGGTAAGGGACTAGCTCCTTATAAACTGAATAGGGTAGGGACTAGCTCCTTATCCACTGAATAGGGTAGGGACTAGCTCCTTATCCCCTGAATAGGGTAGGGACTAGCTCCTTATCCCCTGAATAGGGTAGGGACTAGCTCCTTATCCACTGAATAGGGTAGGGACTAGCTCCTTCTCCACTGAATAGGGTAGGGACTAGCTCCTTATCCACTGAATAGGGTAGGGACTAGCTCCTTATCCACTGAATAGGGTAGGGACTAGCTCCTTATCCCCTGAATACGGTAGGGACTAGCTCCTTATCCTAGCTCCTTATCCACTGAATAGGGTAGGGACTAGCTCCTTATCCACTGAATAGGGTAGGGACTAGCTCCTTATCCCACTGAATAGGGTAGGGACTAGCTCCTTATCCCCTGAATACGGTAGGGACTAGCTTATCCTAGCTCCTTCCACTGAATAGGGTAGGGACTAGCTCCTTATCCACTGAATACGGTAGGGGACTAGCTCCTTATCCCTGAATAGGGTAGGGACTAGCTCCTTATCCACTGAATAGGGTAGGGACTAGCTCCTTATCCACTGAATAGGGTAGGGACTAGCTCCTTATCCACTGAATAGGGTAGGGACTAGCTCCTTATCCACTGAATACGGTAGGGACTAGCTCCTTATCCACCTAGCTCCTTATCCACTGAATACGGTAGGGACTAGCTCCTTATCCACTGAATAGGGTAGGGACTAGCTCCTTATCCACTGAATAGGGTAGGGACTAGCTCCTTATCCCCTGAATAGGGTAGGGACTAGCTCCTTATCCACTGAATACGGTAGGGACTAGCTCCTTATCCACTGAATAGGGTAGGGACTAGCTCCTTATCCACTGAATAGGGTAGGGACTAGCTCCTTATTCCACTGAATAGGGTAGGGACTAGCTCCTTATCCACTGAATAGGGTAGGGACTAGCTCCTTATCCACTGAATAGGGTAGGGACTAGCTCCTTATCCCCTGAATAGGGTAGGGACTAGCTCCTTATCCCCTGAATAGGGTAGGGACTAGCTCCTTATCCACTGAATAGGGTAGGGACTAGCTCCTTATCCCCTGAATAGGGTAGGGACTACGGGAAAGAGCTAGGGGGTTTCTGAACGGGCCACTGACACTAAGGCAGGTGTTCTGTAAGAAGCAAATGTCACATCACAGCTAAACAAATCTGCTGGCTATCAACTTAAAGCCAGGGACAATTCCTTCATTGAAGTCTATGGACAAGGAATGATAGAAAAAAAAAAAGAAGTATCTTCTGTCTCTCCTTGTCCATAGACTGCTTTCAAAGGTAAGGAAACAAATATACATTTGAGTGAACTACCCCTTTAACCACACAAATCCATAGGTCCCTCTGCAGGGATGTTGGTTGAGCATGGTGTTTGCAACGCCAGGGTTGTTGGTTCGTTTCCCACGGGGGGCCAG